CAGAACACCAGAAGTGACGCTGTGGCTCAAGTGGTAGAGCGCTAGCCTTGAGCTGAAGAGCTGAGGGACAGCGCCCATGCCCAGAGTTCAGGCCCCATGACAGGACCAAAAAAAAAAAGAAAATCTATGCTTCGTGTTTGAAATGTGTACTTCCTGGCTATGAGCAGAAAACTTTTCAAGAGTCACAAACTAACCTCCCTATATCCATGGTTTTAATATCACCTTATCAGTTACTACAGGGAGGAACAATATTTTGTCCTGTATTTTCTGCTGTCTTTTCAACAGGGTTTGTTTTTGTACACTGTACAAGGTCAGTTGTTGGGTGAATGAATGTTGCATGACAGGGAAGAAAAGTAAAAGAAGGAAAACCAGTTCTTTGGTATTTAGAGGACAAAGGTCTTGGTATAGATATCCTCAAAATGGAAAAAGGGTTTGGGAGAGACCCCAAAGGAAGACTCCAGTGCTTACAAGCCTGGTGATATTCACATTTCTGTCTCTCTTATACTCTCCTATTTCCTGAAGAGCCATAGTGGATTCAGGTGTCTCATTCTACCAATATCAGACAATCCAGGAGGGCCTAGAGACTTGTAATCTTCATCTTTTCCTGGACAAGGAGCTGGGTTGGGGAAGAGTGGCAGCCAGTTGCAGAACCCTCCCTAGAGCTTTTTTTTTTTGCTGGTCCTGGGGCTTGAACCCAGGGCCTGGGTGCTGTCCCAGAGCCTCTTTGCGCTCAAGGCTAATGCTTTACCATTTGAGCCACAGTGCCACTTCTGGCTTTTTCTGAGTAGTTTCTTGGAGATCAGAGTCTCATGGACTTTTCTGCCGGGCAGACTTTGAACCATGATCCTCAGATCTCTACCTCCTGAGTAGCTAGGATTACAGATGTGAGCCACTAGCACCTGGCTGGCCCCAGAGCTTTAAATACTCAGAGAATACCTGCCTGTCATCCATAATCCTGGAGCAGACGTTAGATGTAAAGAAGAGGAACCCCAGCCCAGCAGAGGGCAAGAGAAAGCCTAAGGCCTAAAGGTTTCTTAAGATTTCTGGTCCTAAAATGAGGACTAAAAAAATGGATACAGCAGAAAGTCACGCCTGACAAGAGGCACCAAGGAAGTCACTTCTAGTTGCTCACATTCATTCTGCCACAGGCTTAAAACCTTGGATGAGACAGTGATCAAACACTGTGTGCTATTAGGTCCACCAGAATCTAGAAGATTTTTCTTGCTCTGCAACATTCTCCCTTCATGGATCCTGGATTCAGCTGCTAATCTCAAACAGAAATGAAAAAGAGCCACCCATTGTGGTTCCTGAAACAGCTTGGGCTTTGTCTGTGCACGGATATGAAAGGGTAGATAGCTATACCGGGTCTTTCTTCCCCAATGGCCTCTGACAGCTGGGATCTAAGCAAGTAGATGGTGAGAAATAATGAAGGCAGCTCAGTTGAATGGTTATGAAGACAAGATGTGGGTTTGGGTCCTGGTCTGATATTTACCAGTTGAGACATATTGGGGAAATTAACCTCAATGTGTCTTAGTTTCTTCATTGGTAAAATATATATTAAGGTTATAAGGATTAAATGTAAGGCACTTGACATAATGCCTGACACCTAGTAAATGCTCAATAAAAATGAACACTTTACCATTATTCAATTACAATACTAAAACACATTTCTAGGCCAGGCAAGGTAGCTCAAGCCTGTAATCTTAGCCACTTGAGAGGTGGAGATCAAGGCATCATGGACTAGTATGGACAAAAAGAAAACTTATTGAGACGTCATTTGGACACACAATGGTGTGTACCTGTCATGCCCATTAACTTAGGAGAGCCCAGATAAGAAGCCTGAATTTGGTCCTGGACATAAGAAGTTACTATCTGGAAAGTAACCAATGTAAAAGGGGTCTGGTGGCTTGGCTCAAGGGGTATAGCTCTTGCTCAGCAAGCATGAGGCCCTGAGTTTCACTCTGACTTCCCTCTACTTGAAAGAAATCCCATTATATCAAAAATGTGGATGGGTTGTGTCCCAGAGGCTGAGGCCAGGACCGTGGCCATACACATTTTCGAACAGTGCAAGTTCCTCGTTTTTTTCTCCCTTCTTTTCTAAGTTGGGCTGATAAGCCTGGTCAATGGTGAATCAAGAGAAGAGAAACAGGGCACCACTGTCTGGCTGGGATACCAGGTTACCAAACCTGCCTGTCCATTGGGCCATTTTCCCTGCTATCTGTCCAGATATGGAGGAAGGTGGCTATAACCTACAGATGTGCTTATTTCCTCTCCGCTCTGTATCTTACATTAGATATCCCTAACTGCTGCTGCTGTGTCCTGTTCCTCAGCCTTAGATCCTTCACCAGACACTAGCTTTACTCTGCTAAGACTGCTTGTTCCTTCCCTTTGTGCTTCTCCCAAATGAAGGCAGGCAGGCAGAATATTCTGCAGATGCTTCGGTGACAAGGTATGAACCTTACTCTATGTTAACAAGAAGTATTCAGGGAAAAGGAGAGGGATTATGAGGAGTGACCAGGAAAATGATGCTGACATTCTATTTAACATCTCCCCTCCTGCAGTACACACAAACACCACAGCCCCTTTCCCCTCCCTCTGATGGCTGCCCTAATAGCTATCCTGAGTCTTAAGCCATGGTGGAAACCCTCTCCTACCATTCTTAGCAAGTAGTTAATGGAATGACAGTGCAGTTTAGTGAAAACAACTCTGGACAGAATCAGAAGGATCAACCTTCCATTACCTATCTGACCTGAGGCAAGTCACTTTATCCCTGCAGGTCTTGATTCTTCCTCTGTAAAATGAGGCAGTTGGAATACATGAATTCTAAGGTCTTTTTCCATTCTATCATTCCATGCGTTCATCAATGAAATGAAACAGAGGAAAAGGACAGAAAGGACAGAATAACCCTACATAAGACATCCTGTCTTCATGCAGTCCTCTCACGCTGCCTCTCCGTCCCACCCCCGAATTTTACCTCATCCTCATTCTCCACCTTAGGGTTGCTGGCTGTTCGTTTCAGGTTGCTGCTGAGACTTATGCTGGCAGTGGCATCTGACTTAGACCGCTGGTGAGTCCTTTTGGAGGGAGACAGCCCTGTATCGGGAGCTGGGCTCAAGGAGGGCAGCTCCCTCTTTCGGTGAGCTGGCTTCAGCTCATCTGAGAGGATCAGCTTCCGTAACTTGGTCCCACGGGAGTGTCGTTGAGTGGAAATGTGCATGTCTGAAGAGTAGGCCCCAAGCAATAGGGCACACTGGAGGGAAAAGTTAATGCTCTGGCGACAACGGTGGACAATGTAGGGCTTAATGGCATCACCCACATCCTCATCCATGTGGATGTACATGTTAAGCAGCTGGGGCAGATAGAAGTCCACATCTTCATTGCGAAAGCAAAAAAGCCGGTTGCCAATGTAGGCTTGCACTCCAGGCTCCTTGGAGTTATACAAGTATGAAATGGCCATAGAGATGTCAAACAGTTTTGACTCAAACAGCCTCAGCAGCCAAGACTGTTTGGCTGAGTTGTTCTGCCGACGCCTTCTTGCTCCTTTGGCTGTTCCCGAGGCCACAGCAGCTTCCATCTCATCTTCCTCTTCCCTGATCTGGGCAGGTGGGTCATCCAGGCAACGGATCTCACTGTCCACACCATCTCCATTGACCAACTCCAGTGGGGTGCCTCTGCTGGAGATGGCCACACCTCCGTGCAAAAGCTTGACTTTTTCCAGCACCTCTTGGCAGGCCTTCTGGGCCACCTCAGGGTCAATCACTGATAGTTCCCCGACCCCCTCCGTGATGACGCTTAGCAAGGAGCCCCCATTATTCCCTGGTGGGCTAGAAGTAGGCTCAGAAGTTGGCTTCAGGGGGGCAGGCTCCACTACCATGTCTCCCATGGCGACAGCCAGACTTCGAGCTTCCAAGCTATAGCAGGATGGAGGGAGAAAGGAACAGAAAGGGAGACATACACATACTGGTTAATGGTGTCATCCACAGGTCTTCCCTTTGTCATGAAACCTTACCCAGCATCTCCTCTTTCTGTCTTCCTGGACTCCTTCAAAATCATAGGAAAAGTCATCTCCTCCCGGGAGCTTGTATCACTATATCCACTTCCAATCACCCTATTATTTTTTCTCTCTGCATTAGTTACTCACCTTGGCCTCACGTCTCAGCTTATACTTGCAAAACATTACGTTATGTTAGGTTTTCACAAACATAAATATCACAGGTATACTGGGAAGCAATTCTTCTCTTATTCCCTTTCTTTAACTCTGTAAATTCTTTTTTTTTTTTTTTTTGGTAGGTTGTGGGGCCTGAACTCTGGGCCTGGGCGCTGTCCCTCAGCTCTTCAGCTCAAGGCTAGCGCTCTACCACATGAGACACAGAACCACTTCCAGCTTTTTCTGCTTTTGTAGTGCTGAAGAATCGAACCTAGGACCTCATGCATGCAAGGCAAGCACTCTTCTACCAAGCCACCTTCCCAACCCCATCCATAAGACTCTTTTTTTTTTTGGGTCCGGTCGTGGGGCCTGAACTCTGGGCCTGGGCACTGTCCCTCAGCTCTTCAGTTCAAGGCTAGCGTGCTACCACTTGAGCCACAGC